GCTGGGAAAGGCTGTGACCCTCTCTCAACGTTGGCTCCAGGAGAGAGTGTCACGTCCACTCAGGACACCCACTCAGCCTCAAAGGCCGCTGGACCTTCCTAGAAACCCCCAGAGTTAGGGGGTGGGGGGTTCTTCCCTCGCGCGCTGTGTGTGAGCTCAGTCACTTGAGTCGTGTCCAACTCTTTGTGGCCCCCGGACCGTAGCCCCCCAGGCTCCTCTATCCATGGGGTTCTCCAGGCAAGAGTACTGGAGCGGGTTGCTATGCCCTCCTCCAGGGCATCTTCCTGACCCGGGGATCGAACCCGCTTCTCTTTGGTCTCGTGCATTGGCAGGGGGGTTCTTTACTGCCGGGTCACCTCGACGGCTGAGCTCCTTCCTGTGTGCTTGTTCTGACCCTGGCTTACCCGGCAGCCCAGCTCCCACCACCCCGGCTCTCAGTCCTTGAGATTCCGCCCTTCCCCCATCTTTGCTCATGCTACATGCCTGGAAGCCTTCCCCAGCCCAGGCCTCCTGGGGACCCTTTCGTCCCCGGAGCTTGGCAGAGGCACCAGGTCCTCGTCCTGGGAAAGCACTCCCCACTGTGCGTCTGGGTCAGGCTCTCTCAGAACCTGGCTCCTTCCTTCACACAGAGCCCCCCACCCCCCAACCCCTGGGAGCCACACCCTGTGTGATGACCACCCCCACCCTGAACTCCATCTGGCAGGGATGTGCTTCTTGCTGACTGTGGCATCTGTAAATCCACACGAACGGATGGATGGATGGCACTTCCCATGGGAGCTCTGTGTATGCAGCTGCCTTCTCCAAGGGCCAGGGCCCTTCCAGGGGTGGGCAGAATGCAGACCACCCTGGGATGGGGGAGGCCACAGAGATTCCAGCAATAACTCAGTGGGCCCACAGTGGGCGTGTTGGTGGGGACACCACGAGGATGACAAACAGACTAACCTGTACACGGCATGAAGGAAAACACGCCTCAGTGACAGATGGCTGGCCAGGTGCATCCCTGCCCTTGGTCCCAGCCCGAGGGCAACTAGCCCAGGGTGCCCATCAGCCTCCACTTCATTTTCCTGGCTTCCTGGTGAGGGTCATAGAGGGGAGGCCCCTGGAAGATGAAATCCTGCTCTTCTTGAATTTCCTGGTGTTCAGCCTTTCCCATAGTGTCCAACTAGACAGTTTCCTGGGTGTTGGGTTCTTGTATGTGCTTCTCAAATAGCCATTGATAGTGCTGCTACTGCTGTAAATGCTGGGCTTTCTCAGCATCAAATTGCATTTCAGGAGCAGAGTGGATGCTGGTGGCTGTCTGTTCTCAAAATAAACAGGGCTTGGAAATGGAATCCAGTCTAAAGGGAGAGGCAGGCTCTCGGGGGCCAGGCCAGCTGGGGAAGGGGACCTAGGCTTCCAGTCATACAAGATGGTCAGAATGTCAAGGGCTGGCTGACCCCACACCTTCTGCAGGGCTCCCCACCCAAGGGCCGCCAGCCTGGCCTGCTCTCTGTTAGATTCCACCATCCACACTGCCATTTCTGTCACCACCCACCCGGAGCCTTCACTCTAAGGGTTCCTAAGTAGATCTCCAGAGCCAGGAACCACAAGCCCATGAATATGTTTGTGCAGTGAATGACCTTGTGTGACTTTGGCCAGTGCCTTTGCTCCCCATCTCCTTGGATGGGTGACATGCCAGGATGTAAGATGAGCTGGGTTCATCCAGCCTCTGCATGCACTGGCCCTGGTTCACCCTTCACTGCTGCTCCCAAAGGCTGGTGCTCAGAGCACCTGCTGCTGGTCAGATTGCAGACCCAGGGTCCCAGCTGCATCCCCAGGAGGCTTGCCAGGGTAGGCGTGACTGCAGAGTTCAGCTACACCCCACACAGGCCCTCCACACCCTGGCATCCCAGCAGGGGCACACACATCACCCCCTACCCCTGGCCCTGTCCTTGGATGGGCGGCCGAGTCCTCCCCGCAGGACCACCAGGCCTCCCACAGCCCACCACACCTCCAAGGGGACAGAGGCAGTGGGGGCTGTGACTGTGCATGTTTTGTCAACTGGACCTAATTTCTCTCAGGAATCCTTCTGCCTCTTGTCAAGTTTGTTTAAAACTAATGGAAGCAATTAGCAGGCCTCAGAGATGTGTGGCTGATCTGGGTTGCGGGGAGCAAGCACCCGGGGCGTCCACATCCCAGCCATGGATGGAAGGAGGCACTGTCACCTCTCCAGGCAGGTTTCTCCAGTGGAGCCTGGAGGAGGTCATGACCCTGGTGCCTGTGACTCTGCACAGGTGTTTTCTTCTCACGAGGCTGGAGGACATTCTCGGACACTTGTGCTGGGTTCACAACACCCAGCATGGCCCAACAGCAATCCATGGGCGTGCAACGGCCCGGCAGCTTCTGACCCCTAAAAGAGAAGGACTTTACCTGCAGACAGGAGGTAGATCCCAAAATGAAAAAGAACAAGAGGAGGGAAGTGGATTGAAGAGGAAGCAAAAAGAGAAAATTGGGCAGGATACACTGAGGGTAGTAAATGCCTCCACTCGCCTAGCCCCCGGCTACAGCGCCAACTCTGAGCATCCCAGTCGCCAAGAAGGAGGCAACCGCCTTGAGCAACTCTCCAAGAAAATACAAATGGGCTCCTGGGTGAAGCAGGAGCTCCTACCCAAGACCCCAGATGTGTCTCAGAGGAGTCTGCCTCCTCCCCCACTCGCCAAAAGCTCACTTCCCATTTTTATGTCAAGATATAATGTTTGTAACCTTCGGAGCAGTGTTTGCATGTTGAGAAATCTAAACCCACATTTCTTAGGGTTTCAGGAGGGAGCTCACTTATTCAGAGCTAAAGTGCCATGAACGCCCCTGGTGTCATGAAGAACAAGCCTTCCTGATCTTTCCCTTTGACAGAGAGACGGTCACCCAGCAGTGCCCAGGAAGGCACTGTCCTGAACTCTCCTCCTTCTGAAAAGCCAGCTCCCCGACTCTGCGTGCACTTGGAACGGCCCCCAACTTCCCACAGACACGTTCCAGCTCCCGCTTCCTCACTGACATGGGCTCCGAGTCTCAGACAAGGTGGTGAAATGAGCCCATGGGTGGAGCCAGTCAGCCAGCCTGCGGTGGCCCGAGCCGGAGGCCAGCTGTGTGTTGTCCCAAAGCCCCTATGTCTCCTCAGGAGGGTGCTAGTCAGATCCCGAGGGTAAAATGGTCTGAAAGGTACCTGCGTGGAGAGGCTGGCTTTATCAATGTAGACCACATGTGATAGTGCCATCTTCAATGTCCTGAGGGTGTCCCATCCATGGAGGACGTCCAACCCCTGCAAGGTCCCTGCTCCTATGGACAGTGCCCAGACCTTCCTATTGTGGCAGCGCCTACGCAGGTGATTTTTTTCTCTGACATCTGTGTCCACACTTCCCTCAAATGCTGCCAAAGCTCTGCGCTAATTAAAAAAAATATAACACCGTCACTTAATCCCGAAGAAATGCAAACTCCCCGCTGCTGTCCAGTCCCATTAGTGATATTAGAAATTTGCTTTCAGAGAACAAAGGGCTTATTTCTGTACTTTGTGCTAATCTCCAGCAATCACAGCATTGTCATTTTTACCTTTGTCAAAGACAATTGGGCGTCAGAAATGATTGATCCACTCAGTTTGTTGCTGACTTTAATTTGTATACCGTTGGGCAATGGTACAGTGAAAGCAGTCTAGTGTTCTCCTGTCACTTGGGAAACAATGTGACTATTCCCTCACCGGGGGTCGTTTCCCTGGAGCCTCAACCCACTCGTCACCTTGGTTGCCCTCTTCCACCCTAGGACCTTGTCTGTGAACCCTGGAGTCTGTGCACACACGGAGATGCCTGGCTCCATCACACTGAAGAGCATTTTTGTATTAAACCCACAAGTGGAAGGTGTCGGTGACTGGGGAGATGTCTGGAGTGAAGTATTTGAAACGAGGGAACGTTCATGTTATTTATTATTTCAAGGCAGCCAACAATAAAAGGTGAACCCGGGGGAAACATTTTATCAGAACTAACAGTGAGGAGCTTTTTTTAGTTTCTAGAATAAATAGTAATTAAATCATGTAAGCTGTGACAGTGAAATTGCTTAAAAAACCAATCCTCCCACCATAATTGCTGAGATACCCACATTTTTATAAATGCTAGGTAACTTTATCCGTTCCTTTCATCAGCAGAATGTGACACTGGCTGTGGGTGCCTCGTAATTTACCATGGCTTCAGGTGGCAGCTACAGAAGTACATGGATAAAAAGGCCGTGATGTGGTCCCAGTCAACAGGCAGCTTCCGCTATGTCTTCTCCTGCAAGGAGGGGGCAGGCGGGCACAAGTGGTCCAGCGATGGAGTCACGGGAGGTGCCTAATGGATGCTTGGTATCAGTAGACCATCCATCTTACACGCCTGCTTCCAGGTCATGAGAAAGCTCCAGCTACCCAAGGTCACTAGAGAATCCACTGAATCCTCTCCCCTCAACTCAGACTCCAGTTGAGCCCAGAGGTGGTAGTTAAGTGGGGGAGAAGGGGATGTGTTTGCAGAGATGAGAACAGCTATGCTTCAGAGAGAATGAAGCAAGTTCCTTGTGTTTTGTTGTTGTTCCTTTTTCTAAGGCCTCAGCTGATTCCCAGGAGGTAGAGATAAAAACCCCTGGACTTCCCTGGAGGCTCAGTGATAAGAGAATCCACCTACAAGGCAAGAGAGGCAGGTTCAGTCCCTGGGTCGGGAGGATCCCTGGAAGAGGAAATGGCATCCCAGTCCAGCGTTCTTGCTCAGAGAATCCCCTGGACAGAGGAGCCTGGAAGGCTACATACAGTCCATGGGGTCGCGGAGTCAGACACAACTAAACACACAAACACAGAGATGAAACTCAGTACCTGAAGGTCAAGCAATCAGTTAAATAACCGCTTTCTCAACCACATTAGAGACCCAGGTCCGCAGCTGAACATAAGCTCTGAGCAGGCGCCTGCCCGCCAGGCTTTCCCCACCCACCCTGACCTTATCCCCTTTCTCTTGCAGTCAAGTTCAGCAGCTGCCTGGGGACCAAGGGGACGCACTATGAGACCAACAGCATGGACTTCAAGGTCGGGGCCGACGGGACGGTCTTCGCCACCCGGGAGCTGCGCATCCCCTCCGAGCAGGTGGCCTTCACCGTGACTGCGTGGGACCACCAGACGGCTGAGCGCTGGGACGCCGCCGTGCGGCTGCTGGTGGCCCAGACCTCGTCCACGCACTCCGGACACAAGGTGAGGCATGACTGCACGCAGGGAGGGGCTCGGCGCATGTCCTTCCTCCTCAGGTGGCTGAGCGGAGCCTGGTTGGCAGAGGCAGACACCTGAGTGGGTGGCACCAGCCTTGGGGGTGACCCCTGACCTCCCACCTTCCCAGGCAGGGCTGCCCACAGGACCCCATCAGCTTGATGCACAGTCATCACCACCCTGATTGTCAGTTCCTATGTGAACAAGGGCCACATGGCTTCATTTCTCACTGGGCATCTCTCCTGCCTAAGCTTGTAGCCCCCCAGCCTGGGGGCTCCTGAGGCCTAGAGGACCGAGAAGGAAGACAGAGGCCACATGGCTGGCCGTGCAAGGCAGGCAGGGTAGCTGGTGTGACACTGATTCAGAGAGAGGGGAGGGGGAGCAGAGGGGGTCAGGGAGGGGGTGGAATGGGAGAAGGGAGAGGAGGGAGGGCACACTTCACATAAACACACACCAGCCCATGTCCCCGGGCTCCCAGCCCTCCCCATGACTTCCCCTCTAACTTAGCTACGTGGCTATGTTGATAGGATGGGAGGGGTGAATTCACCTTCCCCCAACCGTCCCCCATCCTGAAAGATCTCTCAGCCCCGTGTGCCCCAGGACTCCAGGCCCAGACCCCTCAGCCCCCAGAATGCCCACGTTACGCTTCCCAAGCCTGAGGGGGACCAGCTCTGCTCACCTTGGCCCATGTTTCAGCAGCTGTGTTGGCCTCAGGCTGGGGGCTGCGAGGTCAGCAGAGAAATTGCAGCCCAGAGGACCCGCGTGATGGGTCCCACTGCACATCCATCTACATGAAGGTGGACTCGTAGGGAGGGAGAACCCTTGGGAGACCTTGTGGCCGTTGATGTTATGATATGCATGTGGCTCGCTAGAAAAGAAGCACACCAGTTAAAGCAGGACAGGCCGTCAGGGACGACATCCATCAGTATTCCCTCGGGACAGGCCCACAGGAAGTGGAGGGTAAGACCAGATGGACCAGATGCCTTTCTATAGATTTGTCTAGAAACTCACACGACTAAAGTGCTCAGCAAACCCCAGTGGGACACAGTCTGCAAGTTTCCCTAAACGTATTTGACCAAGGAGCCTTCTTTACAGGAAATCTTTCAAGGCAGGTGTTCTGAGGAACTCACTTTTGGAAACTGGGGCTGTGTTTCACTTTTGCCTTATTTTTAAGCCATATTGTTAAACCACAAGGAGGTGATTTAGGTTAGAAAATCAGTGACTCGGTGGCTAGCCTTATCCTGGAAGGTAGGCTGACACCTTAGCCAAGGACATCTTGAGTGCTCTCGAGGGTGTCCTAAACTAGGTATTGAAACACACTTCTAACAGGGGTGCCCCTCAGACCTTGAGTCTCACCTTGAGGATGTTGAAAATCCTGAGATGGATGTGGTTTTCCATCCCTTCCTGAGCGATCATGACCAGCCATGCCATGGTGGGCAACATGGCCCTCATGGGGGCCCCTCCCTGCCAGGGCCGAGCCAAGGGCAGCAGTGGAAGGCTTACATCTTGATTGCAATTACAATGCGGAGAGGGTGCCTTGTGGGCAAGGAGCAGGGCTCTCTAAAGCCCATGGATGGCCTCAGATAAAAGGCACTAATTAAAAACATAATGACACCTTTTGTCAAGCATGTTAATGAAGTGATTTCTGAGGCAGTTAATCCCCTGATCTTCCAAGAAGGTGACTGCAATTAGACAATCCCCAGGATGCATGCACCTCCAATCCCGTGGCAGGCAGGGCCGAGAAGCAAGAAGCACCTGATCTGCAGATTCCACATCCCAGGTTAAGAGCATCCATGGGGTGACTATGGGGTCACACCCTGAGCATGTGACACGTGACCATGTAGGCAGTAGGCACAGTCCCTGCCACCCATCTGATGCGGTCCTTCCCTGTTTATTTCCCATCACCTTCGTTGCTAAGGGCTCCGTGCTTCCTATCTTCCAACCCAAAGAGCCCTGCCCTGACTTTCTAGGACCCTCCCCTAAGTGTGTCCACATCGATCCTCACAACATCTCCAGAAGTGGGCACTGTCGCTGTCCCCACCTTACAGGTGGGGAAGCTGAGCTGTATGACTGCAGCCTCTTGATGCATGGGAGAACTGATGTTCTGGAAAGGAGTAAATAAGGGACGTTCTAGGCACAGCTAAGCCCAGCATCATAACAGAGCCTGGCTGCCCTGGATTGTCAGTTTGGACCAAGCTCTTCCAGCTTACCGGCTGATATTCTGGGACAAGCATACAACCTCTCTGAGGCATATTGCTCTGGAAAATGGGACAGCAACGCTGCCTACATCCCACCCTAGGGTTGTTAAGAGGATTATGTGGGATGATGTCAGGTCAGGCAGGGTGCAGACTCTATGAGAGCATTGTCCCCAAAGAGGTGAAAAATAGTAGATCTTATTGCTGTCACTGGCATGGTCCCAGCCCTCTGAGTCCTTTGCTCATCTCGGCCACTGGGTCCTCACCAGGGTGGTGCCTGGGAGGACAGGGAGGAAGGTCAGTGTGGGACACTGGCTGAGGCACCCTTACATGGACAGTGCCAACCTTTGCATGTCACTCTGTGTAAACGGATTAAGGTGATCCAGATGGCTGGTGTCTTTAGTCACCTGCCAGAAGCAAATGTCAATCTTCTCCAGTGGAAGGTATCATGCCAGACCTCAAATTTTATCTGTCTTCTTTTGTATACAATTTCTAGCACTCAACTGAAAATGACTGGAAGAACAAAATAAGATAACTAAAAATTAAGAGGAAAAGCAGATGATAATCAAAGACCCATGGGGTAGATTTACAATTATATTATTAATTGTAATCATTAAAAATAGATTAACTCAAAAAAAAGATTAACTCTTCTACTTGGAAAAAAACAAACTGACAATATATTTTTCAAAATCTATCCATATGCAACTTACAGGGCTTCCCTTATAGCTCAGTCAGTAAAGAATTTGCCTGCAATGCAGGAGACCTTGGTTCTATTCCTGGGTCAGGAATAGAAGTGTTAAGTGTTAAGTGTTTCCTTCTCCTCTGGAGAAGGAAATGGGAACCCACTCCAGTATTCTCGCCTGGAGAATTCCATGGACAGAGGGGTGCCTGGCAGGCCACAGTCCAAGGGGTCTACAGTCCATGGAGTCAGAAGAGTAGGACACGACTTAGCAACTAAACCGCCACCATGCAGCTTACAAAAGATACATCTAAAAAGTGTGAGGATACAGAAAATCTTGAAGTAAAAGCACAGCGGCAGGGAAATACCAGGCAAATAAACAAGTATGAAATTAATGGTAAATTTTAGCTAACATCTGTGAGTAAACAATAGAACATGCAGACAAAATATCAGTAAGGAAATGGAAGATTAGGAGCACAGAATTAAGAAGTCTGACCTCGGTGAAATGTACATAAAGCACAGAAACCAACTGCTGCTAAATACAGATTATTTACAAGTATACTCAGAATATTTACAAAAATTAGCCAGACTTCAAGCAAACTTCAAAATGCTTCAAAAGTTAGAATCAAAATGTAGTTTCTGTTCTTCTTACCATAGAGCAATTAAACTAGAAATCAATAAGAAAGAAAATTACTGGAAAACCCCCATAGATTTGGAAGTTAAGTAAATGCCTTCTTATTAACCCTTGGGTAGAAATTAAATCACATGAAAATGGGAGAATATTTTGAACTATTGAATATTTTGAATATTTTGAGTAATAAAACTAGTTGGGATGTATTAATCACTGAAGTCATGCCAGATGGAAATGTTTAGCCTTAAATACATATATTAGAAGATAAAGAATGCAGAAAATCAGCAATTTTAACACTTATCTCAAGAAATTATAAAAATGGGAAATGAAATACAGAGCAGAAAGAAGGAAATAATAAAACAAAGAGGAGAATATAATGAAATAGAAAATAATAGAATCAACAAAGACAGAAGTTGGCTCAGTTTAGTAGTTTAACTACTAAACTGTAGACTAAAAAAAAACCTGAAAATAATTCCTATCTAGAATGACAGGAGAACTTCATGACCAATCACACAGACATTAGAAAGGTCACTTGAGGACATTATGTACAATTTATACTAATATAGTTGAAAACAAAGATGGAATAGGTAACATTCTAGAATATAAAATTTACCAAAATTAACATGAAAGGAACATCTGAACTGTTTTATTATTGTGAATAAAGTTTTAGCTCAGATTTTTATCACACAAAAAAATTACTCTCACCATGATGGCTCCACTGGTAAGTTTTACCCAAGCTATAAGGAGTTAAAACGCATCCTACAAGAGGGATGGCTTCCCCAACCAAATGGGGACCATGTTGAAACCAACAGGAACTTTTCCTAAAGCCAACAAGGACCTTGAAAGAACAATGAGAGAGAGGATCGTTACATGCCTGTCCACTCAGAATAGATGGGAAAAAATCCTAAGCAAAATTTTAACACACATGAATCCACCTATGTTTACATAGGATAAACAATGGCCACATTTGTCTGTTTCAAGAAATCAAGATTTGGTTTAACACTTAAACTTTAATCCATGAAATGCAAAATAGAATAAACATCACATGATCATCTGAAGAGTGATTGTTAAATTTAACTTCCATTCAAGATAAAACTGTTCAGCAAATGAGGAAAAGAAACCAGTCTTAATCTCACAAAGAGTATCAATAGCAAATATCTGAACTACAGCTGGAATACTCAAAGCCTTCCTTGACTTCAAAACTAGGACAAGGGCACTCTTACATCACACACCAAAGCTTCAAGCCAGTAAGTTTAGGCAAGAAAAAGAAATCGGAATAACTAGAACTAGCATTTTGTGTAGCTTATATAATTGTGAATGTAGAAAATCCAAAATAATCTGTGGCAAATTTATTCAAATTAATGAATGATGTTAGCAAGGATGCTAGATGTAAAAGCAATTGCATCTCTACAGACTGCAGCAGATAGTGAAGGACAAGGAAGGTTGGCATGCTGCAGTACATGGGGTCGAAAGAGTTGGACAT